TGCTCCAACGCCCAAAGATGGCAAAATCACAAGTACTCCTTTCTGGTGACAACTCCACCCATCAGACTACCTACTCCTTCCCCCAGCTGGTTAAGCAGCACAGAGGTACTGGTACACTACTGCTCACGGCTCTTTGCATTCTCCAGCAGGGCTCAGCAGATTAGGACAGGGACAGAGAGGCCATAGACGAACAGGTACAGCCCAACTGCACCACTTTTTCCACAGCTGCTGATTTTTATTACAAAAGGGCAGTGACTGCATGTTACGAAAGTCCACAAAATATGAAGCTAATAATAAACTGCTAAACATCACGTGGAGTCTGAAACTATGTTTCATTACAGGGGCTGCTAACATGCAGCCTATTTAGACTAGTTAACAATGTAGACTAAAATAATTCCTGTATGAATTAAAGCATGGGAGACATTAACTGTTACAGCAGCAGGACTAGCTAAGTTCTGCTGAAAATGGTGAGGTTACAAGGGAATGGGGACAACTGGTTCTTTTTTCACATTAAAGAGGGGAATTGCTATCTTGTACCATCCACTATGTAACAGTGTTCAACAGATAGTTTTTAATTTAAAGAATGCTGTAATAGAGGGGACACTTTCCAGAGGCAAAGTTCAAGCCATTCTTCAGTTTTTCTTATAACTTTGTACATAGCCTTAAAAAAATCAACGCAAAACATACCTTGGGCACACAAATTGGGCTGAAGTATGATCACCTGAATTGATTTTTTCTTTTGATGACTTAATCTTTATTAATTTCCCTCAGGTTTCACAGAAAATGTGTGTGTGCATGAATAATGCATACATAGGACCAAACAGAAACTATTTTGAGAGCACAGCTCCTCCTGCAATTTTTCATGGGAATACATGCTGTGATACATGTATCTTATAGCATATGTATTAAATATACTTTAAAGTTCATTGTAAGTCACATTCTTTGTTTTTCCTTACTTCACAAAAGACATTGGGAGGCAAATATTTTTTTTCCCCTACCTCCAAAAAGAAATGTGAATTTAGAGAGGCAGCTCAGTGCAAAGGGCATGTCAAACTTCAGCAAGTTTATCCAAAAGTTAATTGCACTCCCTTATTTCTACTCAAAACTGCTGCAGTACCCCAGACGCTGGGTCTCAGAATGCAGTTTCTTTCCCATGTTTGGACACTGTTACAATCTGAAGCATCCTTCTCATGGACATACATTCTGAACAGGAGCTAATAGCTCTTAGTCACCTCTTGCTTAAATGAGCTGGAAAGAGTTGCCTAGGTATCTTGCTCTAAGGTATGTTTTCCAATCCCTGAATCATTCTTATAAATCTCTTCTGATCCTTCTGAATCTTTCTGAAGTCTGACTACAAGAAGACAAAAATACTTTGCTACACGTATTAATATGCATTAATATGGATATGTATGTGGTAAATCTGGTGATTTGGCAAAGAATTAAAGTTAAAATAATTAGTTAAACCACAGAGGAGACATTTAGTAAGAAAAATACCACCACTTCAAATGAACTTTTCAACATGAAAGCTGAAACCTAGATTATTGCCTACTTGGAATGTGATCAGGTAGCCAATGCTCAGTACCACTGCGTTCTCTCCAGCCTTCATGGCTTCAGTGGATGCTGACATGAATTTTGTTTGTTTTTAAAAAGAATTTGCAAAACAAAAATACTTTTTCTCAGCATTGATTGAACTGATTTTCTGTAAGCTGATTTAGCAAATAATGTAGAACATGTAAAAAATGAAATAAGAAAGCTATCTGCCGCAAAAACAATGGGCCTTTCACCAGCTTGCACATTCGTGTGCCCAACAGCATGGATCTCATTTACTTTGAACTTGCTCCAAAGTGAAAGCTATCATCAAGTACATAAAAGATATTCTATTCATAAATGGTAACTGTGTTGCCTTAATTATAATTTTATTCAATGGATTTTAAGAATGTAATACTGGACACTGGAGGCAATTGCTACTGAATGCAGGATACCTGTGTACGAGATCATTTTCTTCTGAGTTGCCCATTTTTCAATATTGTGGGAGTTTGCTGATTTATGTTAAGGAAAAACATTACCATAAATACTTTAGTTTAGTAAATGTGGTTTTAAAAGCTTGTTGCATTAAGCCTTTTATTTTACCTACATTCTTATGCAAATCCTTCCTTGAGAGATGCAGATATAAGAACTGTTGACTTTGAGTAAGTCCGTAATTTTATATATACATCACCTATTTATAATTTAACAAGCAATACAGTTTCTGTAGCTTCATCCTTTGAAAACCTTTAGGACCCAATGCCAGCATGAAACTCGACATAGAAATAGTTACCATCTGAGCTTACACAGAAAAGAAAGCTCCATTTCTTTTCAAGTACAATGGATTAATGTAGGGGGAAAGTCAACAGTGCTAAATTCATCCTGAATGTTAGAACCTCAGATTGCAATGGCATTGATGGTCACGGATGAGTTTGGCCTGCTGTGGCTATGGTTATCTAATTTAATTAACATTTACATTCTAAAAGAAAAACCCAAAAAACATTTGCAAGTACTAAGTAATATGGTAAATATGGAACAAATTATCAGCAACAGCAGGGGAGACTTAAAATATGCATCTTAAGTTTGGAGTCACTCAGGAACCTGTGGTGATGCAATCACTCAAACAGAGTAATCTTTATGAGTTTAACTTTGCCAAGAACGCATGTGCAAACCATCTTCCAGAGACTCGTCCAGCCTGGATGACACACAAGCTGCCTCATCCATATGGACCCATGCCTGACATCAGGTGTTTGCTAGTGACTAGAGCATCGCTTTTCAACTTCTTTTGATTTGGAAACCCTCACTGATTTTCTAAGGCACGATGCAGATCCTTGTATAGTGAGTTTAGAATCACAGAATCATCACCAAGGTTGGAAAACACCTTCAAGATCATCAAGTCCAACTGACGGCCCTACAAGCCCTGACCACTAACCCATCTCCTGAAACACCATGTCCACCTGTTTTTTTAACATCTCCAGGGATGGTGCCTCACCCCCCTCCGTGGGCAGCCTGTTCCAATGCTTTATCACTCTTCCTGTGTTTCAGGTGGGCAGCGATGGCTGCAGGTTGCAGCCTGGGAGGCTCAGGCCAGGCACAACACTGTTGGTGACCCAAGGCCAAGGGCACGTCTGCACCAACCCACTGGTGCTGCAGCCTCCATCGCCCTCAGGGGGCTTCTCACCACCTCAGAACCCGAAAACGATAAATACCTGCGAGGTGGTGACACCGGCCATCGATGGATGGTTGGTGCAGAGGCAGCAGCTCCCGCGGGCTGA